CCTTTCGGTGCACAAAGATCCTGCGATGATGAGTATTGGTATATTCAGATATATGCGTGCATTAGCTGACCGGAGCAAAATTAGCGATGGCATGAGAGAGACAACTAGTACTTTTCTCTCTCTCTCTCCCTCTCGTACCGTCGCAAAATTTCGCCTTGCGCGTGAAACATCGCTCAGGGCGGAATTCACCTTATTTCTAAACATGTTAATTACCAAGCAGTGAATCATCTTACTACGATTTTGTTTTTGCAGTATCGAGGATCTGAAGCCGTGAAAACGTGTTGCAGACCTGAGCAAATGCAGGAGGAAAAGTTTGTCGATCTACCGTGTGTTGAATGGGAATGATCGTGATTCGTTTCTGACCGGAAGCTTTTGGCCCTTTTGACAGTCCTTTTGAATAAACTACTGTATTGATTATTTTGAAAAATTAATGCAATTATTATATCACATTGAACACAACGTTTTACTTGTTTAAATTATACGTAGGAAAATAAAGAGAACTAAACCCGTTCATTTAAATAATTCTAACTATGTTGCTTATACTGTGTCCAGTGGCCTTTATGGTTTATTATCTACTGTAATAAGAATATTCTGCGTTTAGAAGGTGGAAAGCTACGAGATCTGCGTTTCCGTAATACGCCCATATTCTCGTTTAAAATACTGTCCGGACGAGAATATGGGTGATAGTATGGTCACATGATTTCGTACATCCAATTATGTTCTTATCAGGCATTGTCATAGTCACACAGCCAAGAACCGAGCGGAAAAGAACAACATAAAGTTCACTATTAGATTCGTTATACAAATGATGGAACTCGAACGAATAACAACAAAAGGTTTCAATGCCTATCAGAATTAATTCTTCTGGTACATGGTGAACAGATTACACCAAAAATGGTCCGGGACACCTATAGCTGTTTACGCTCCTAATCAAATGAATGCTAATTGTTTAACAAATAAACCAATATCCACACAAAATGCCTGACATTGGATAAACAAGCAAATCAAATTGACATAGCAACCAAGCAAATAAACTAACGCTAGATATTTCTTAAGTATTTTTAAGTATTTTTGGGTATCTTAGATATCACTAAGATTTTCATATGTATATTAGGAAAAATACAAAGTTTAGAGTGGGATGTCCCTAGGTATGAGCTATAGGTTACGTGCATGCAAAGAAAACCATGGCATTGTATGCACATGTGAAACGGGAACCTTATTTGTAAGATGATGCAAACATTATCACGCATACGGTAAAACCAAAAAGTGTTCAGATTAAGAACGGTCAAATTATCGGGGGTCCACGGTACTGCTTAAAACATAATAGCTACGGAACTGTTTGAATGGTGAAGTCACCAGCAGGTACTTGGTAAGTATAATATAAGTTTCTGATCTTTGAAAATCTTTTTGATTCTTAAGTTAAACTTAACTAAACTTAACTGCATACGTGAGCAGCGCATTTCTGGCCAATGTTTGTTGTTGGTTGTGAACCAATTTACAAAACTAATTCAAAAGCGCATCTAAATTGTTAGGCATTCAGTACGATATCCCTACTTGAGGATTGCAATGTTGAATGCCATTTCTAAAACTCATGATTATTCATTTTGTTAGTGCCTACCCTGTCCTTACCGCTACACCACCGGCGCCGACGCCGAATGATGATCTGCGCGCAGTTGCGGTGGGACTCATCATCAACGTCAATAATAAATCATGTCTTCTACACTTAAATTAGCTAAAAATCAAGGCATCATTAAAAGGTAAGGTAACTAACTACCTGCATGAATTTGAATTTTGACATGGCAACATTCTTTTGATCAAGGCAACCGCTGAGTTTCGAAGACAACATTTGTTTTTGTTGATTCGCGAATGGATGTTCAATATCACGATTATCACCTGTGTTATTGTCAATATAAATATGCATTCTCATCTTGGTGTGGATGATTTTGAGTATAAAATGCTAAAAGATTATTTTCATTATACACACATATAGCGTTGTAAAACGTCATGTGTTGCTTTTCACTCTAAGATCGATGGCAAATTATTGCTCCATGCAAAATCGAGGTTTTAGGCTCTGAGATCGATAATAAGCAAAATAATATTTTTGCCAAAATTAATTTTTTTCTTTTTTTTTTGTTTTAAGGGTCGCTTTCAATTTCGAAAATGTTGGGTTGGAAACTCAAGCATTGATGAATCTCAACAAATGTATATGTGACGATCCATAATGAACTCATTTGTTAATTTCCCTCATACGCGACAGCGAAAATTGTCAAAACAAACGCTGCGCTTGGCAGCAGACTCTGTCAAGTATCTTATGTTTTTCGGTAACCGGAAGTAGCCATCTGTGATTTCAAAATGGCGTCAGACATGGATTTCCGGTTCCTACATGTCACTCTGATTAAAAACACACCCATATTGTGCGGTATTTGACAGAATTTGCAAGTTGTTCACTCCGAATCAAAAAAATACCAATATTATGGGGTATTTGACAATCTTTTCAAAACCCTATTACGAAGTAAATTCCAAATAACGAGGTTCGTAAATAGAGGTTCCAGTGTATAAAGATTTCCGTTTTTGTAAATTTTATATCATATCTAGACTAACATTTGAAAAGGGCGTAATTCCAAAATGACCATATCGAGAAAATCGCTTCTGAATTTTGTTGACCTAAAAATTAATCCTATTTCACGACTTTCCATTTTCTGGTTGATTTTATAAGCTTGACATATAGTTAATAGTGTAATCTATCATCGTGCATCACTAAAAACTCAAAAAAAGTTTTCTTTGTCGTGAAATTGAGAAGAAAACATCATACAAATTTCATACATGTTGTTCCCCCCCAGATCTTCCACCCTTTGAACTGCCAACACTGGTGATACGCCGTGGAAGTACACCCTCGGGATTTTTTGTTTGTTGTTCCGCCTTGGTTCTTCGTTCGCAAATTTTGTGAGAGTGAAATTACGCCCGGAGATTTTTTGGTCTTCTTTTTGTTCGTTGTTTACACGTGAAATGTCAATCGGATGCGTTTCAAATGAATCGGGCGTGACTAGATACTACAGAGTCAATACGTTTGGCATATTAAAACAATATAATTCGTTGTTCTGGTGCAAGGCGTAACAACCATATTCATCATAGATTTGAAAGTTGGAAATACGCCATGTAAGAAGAAACGTTTTTGGTGATTTGAAGTGATATTTTCTTCTACTGTTTCGTGTTTATCGAGTAGTTTGTGAACTATTCTCTCTATATGTGGCAAAATATGGTTTGTTTACATTTTGGCTCTTACGCCCCTTTCAAATGTTAGTCTAGATATCTCCAGTTCTGTGTTGTGACTCTAAAAGGGGTTACATTTCAGCTTATTTGTACCATAGTTAGTGCTTCGCCGAACGGGAGCGTCTGTTTACACTACACTAATATGCACACTACGAAAAAGACATGTAAATTTCAGTGCTCTGAGACCGACACATGCAAGCGGCCCTTTTGACATAAGAATCAGTTGAAAAGGACGAGAAAATCAATTCAATCAAACGCACTTTTCATCGAGTTGCATATGTTTCAGTTTCAGGACACTTAATTTTACATGCCATGTTTGTTTACGTTCCATGATTTACGTCAAAGCTGAATTACGTCTCGTGTAAAAATAATAATTTCTAAGTGTTTGGCAGCCCTATCACGGACCCGATAGGAGACCTTAGGCAAACCATCTACTTTCTCCGAAAGCCGAAAATTGTCACAGAAACCAACATAGAAAGACATCGGACTGATTTAACTGCATCGACTTTTAGCTTATTTGTTCCTGCTCATCAATCATCCAATTAAGACCAATATTATACCGACGAATCATAAATATTTAATCATCCAGTGACATAAATTTCTGCACACAATAATCACAACAATCACAAGCAAACAAATATGTATGTTTTTTTCTTAAATGTTTGATTGATAAAGCATTTATTCAGCTTTAAATGTTTAAGGGGATGTGGTTCTGTGGTTTGCTAAACAATCAAATCAATCAATTTAAAACGCGTCAAATATAATTATGTTCCAGTTTGAGACGTTTTATGTTTTTAATTGGATGTGAGGTACTGTCAACCTCAGACTAATTGCTGCCAAGTAAACACACGATACAAAAGAAATATCGTCTCCCAGTCCAGGAATCACAGGAAACTAGGTTCCTTCAGACCGCAAACGAAAACAGCAAATTGCTTCGCCTCGGATTTCCGCTTTGGTAGTGGTTCAAATCGAAATCACCAACCGATCCTTTGTTCCAAGCTCCGCTTATGTGAGCTTTCCTCTAATTTGGGTGTTCTTTTCGCTTCCATTCACCATCATCGTTTCAATTCACAAAGCACCAAATCCTGTGGAAGAGCGGCTTCCTTTCTGAAGCCAAGTTTTGATGGTTTGAGAAGGCAAAAAAAAACGAAAAAATCGATGGTACAGCAATTTTTGCTCATTTCAAAGACTATTACAAGTGTTCAGCATACATATACGGTTTGACTGATGATGACAACAAAGGGAGAAAAAAAGAGCAAAAACACCGAACGGAAAATCGGCTTGAACAACCTGCTGGGAAATCTGTCTGTACGCGTGTATGCGTAAGGGAAGAAGCCATGGAACCATTTCTATCCTAATATATCGAGACAGAAATGAATGGAAATGGCTGTCATTTGCCATTTCCGCCTCTGCCAATTGCCGATCGTTATTGTTCTTTTTTTTTGTTTCGTATTCGAATGGGAATGATACCCATGGAGCTAACGATGACAATGGATTCGACTATCTGTTACTTGTCTGCAAAAACTTTGACCACTCAATTCCCACCGAATGACTTAAAAACCGTGTACCATCACTTTGAATTACCCCCTTTAAGCTCAGTAATAATACTTAGCGATTCAACTCGTGCTTCGCATGCTACCACTATAGCCGTTTGACTTTCGAATTGTTCCTTATCTTTCAATTACTCTCCATGGTAAATATTCCATTATTCTCTCTCGTCTTTCTTCCAGGTGAATTGTAAAATGATTCCCCACCACTTTCAATGAAAAGGAAACAAAAACCTTCCAGTCGGATGCGCAGCAAGTAGTCAAGGCACAGGAACTGGACCGGAGCAAGAACACAACAACAGAAGGAAGCATAATCATAGCGAGTAAATACTATCAGAAAATTTGAAACAAAAATAGCATAAAAAGCAAGGAAAGCCTCATTCACTTTCCGGTGAAAAGAGGAAGGTATAAAAGCTTCACCACCCGTGTGCCTAAGTTGTTGAAGAAAATTCTACTCGCAAAAAAAAGGAAAACAGAAAACAAACGTAGCAACACAACTGGCTCCGAAACAAGTGTGTGAGAGGAAAGTGGGAAGTGCTTTTTGTTGACCAGCAGCTAGCGGAGAAAAACACGAGGAGCTTCGTCGATATTTTGAACTCGACCAAATGTTGGCCTTTCATAACGAACATATAACAAGTAAGTAGTCTCGGTTCCCTGTCCGGTGTTTTTCAGTTTTTTTTTTTTCGCTTGCAACACTACTGGAGGTTTGTTGATGGTCCTTTGTATCCCGTACGAAAGCGTGGTGAAGTACCTTTTTCTTGGTTCGACGGCGGAGGTCGTTGGGAAAGTGCCCTTCTCCACACAGTCGACGTCGTCGTCGTCACCGGTTTCTGCTACATTTTAATGCAATTTTCGGTCTAGCCACAGCAGGATGATTGTCGGATATGATTCTGCTGGAAATAATTTAGTTGTCTAGCATGCCAAATGGAAAGATTGGCTATCAACAGTGGGGATGGAAATGTCTTCACGTTGTGGACAGGGTGGAAATCTCGGTGGCAGGGCGTGCTGCAGTTGATGACACCGCTGAAATTTGGTACGATATTTAATCTCTCATCAATCCCATGGTATAAATAAAGCGTAATTTAAATAAATATCAATTGAAAACTATTGTTATATATGGAGAAAAATACATATAGTCCTCTCCAGGCGGGTTCGTATTGGTGCGATTTGCGTGTGTTAGAGAGATGAAATTTTTTGTTAGCTGTGAGAAATTTTTTGTTTGCTGTAAGAACTGTCATTCTAAAGTAAAAATAAACAACAAAACGGAAACAAACCCTACGCTTCCACGGTAACAGTAAAATACCCTTTTATGAGTAAAAGTTAACCCATTTTCAATAAAAGTCGCATTACTCATTAATGATGAAAACAATGAGTTTCTGTTAACAGTAGCTAACAGATACTACTTAACTGGTCTAATAAATAACTCATTAATTAGTAGTGCCACTTTTATTGACAATGGGTTCACTTTTACTCATGAATGGATGTTTGATTCGTACCGTGCACATGACAGTATACGCTAGTGTGTGTAAAATTATATTGCTAGTGTACTGTTAGTGAGATCCTTCTTAGAGAACTCAATACATGTAAAGGGTGCCCCACATCAAATTGCATCACGGAAAAAAACCCTTTTGAAAATTACCCATTGGGTATTTTCTCTTGAAAATTTGTGAAGAAGTAGTTTAGATTGTATTGTTTACACTGTATTTTTATGGCTGTCAGTTTTTCGAAAGTTGGAAAAAATGTCGTCACCCGAAAAGCAACGTCGCGAATTGATTTCGCGCAAGCACCTGGAAAATCCTCAACTCTCTCATCGGGACATCGGAAAACAACTCGGAATCTTCCAGTCAACGTTGAGTCGTGTGATTAAACGTTACTACGAAACTCTGAACATCGAACAGAATGACAAATGCGGACAGAATGGATTCTATTAGTTATCAGGATCACAAGCGTGTCGTGAAAGCGTTTAAGCGGAATTCCAATGCTTCGGTCTGGGATGTGGCCAAAAAGTTGGATCTATCAAAGTCTTTCGTTCAGAGGACCGGGAGAGACTGCATACGTACAAAGTGCAGAAGGCTCCAAATCGTGAATAACAGCAAAATACGGTGGGAAAGTCACGGGCCCGGAAACTGTACACCCAGATGCTGACGAAGCCTCATTGTCTCATCATGGATTATGAGACTTACGTCAAGGCGGACTTCTGGCAGCTTCCGGGGCTACTGTTCTTCACCGCCCAGCACAAGGTTGATGTTCCAGAGGAAGTAAGGCAGCAGAAACCTACATTCAAAGTTTGCCAAGAAATACATGATTTGGCAAGCGATCTGCTCATGTGGCAAACGAAGTGCAACGTTCGTGACTACCGGAACTGTAAACGGGGAGATCTACCTCAAAAAGCGTCTGCTTCCTCTGTTGAAGCAACACGAGGGCCCTACGATCTAAGTTTCTTCGGTGAAGTTGTCTGGACTATACACTAGTTTTTTTTTATTAAGGGGGCTTACACTTAGAAAATCTAACTTTTTAAACAAATCAGATAGACGCATTACGCCTCCGGCAAAGTTGTAGAACTAAAAATTTTAAGAAACTTTGTCGAGGACACATCTCTATGTCTTGAAACATATGAGATATCCCAAGTAACATTGCAAGTTTTACTATGGTATTAAAGCATGCTACAAATCTAAATCATGGTCTTCAGAACCATCATAAAACTCAAACTGTTACTTGGGATAGCTAATTTTCGCTCCGAACTACCTTAAAACAGGTTTTTCGAGTTATTCTTTAACTTTTATGAAAACACCAACAACTTTTTTCGACTTTATTTTGATGTACAGTGATTTCAAAGCTAAAAGACACAAAAAATAAATAAAATAAATTTACAAAAATGTTTATGCAACAACACTCAAACTCGCAAACTTTGAATCTGGTCATCAAAATATACCTTTTCTTGCACTGAAAGTGCTCCAGTTTCCTTGACGAACTGCATACGGATTGGACGACAAAATGTGGTAGAAGATAGTCTTTGATTCATCCAAATGATTTTACCAGGATTATTACGAACTCGCAATTGAAGAGGGACTATAGATGTTATGAAAATATAACTATCATCGGAATTATCACTTGATAATGGTTGCTTATAGTTGGAATGATTGGATGATCCATCAAAGTCCCATTTGGACAGAATTTCCCCAGGTCTTCACTGATTTATTTATTTTTTTATTCGTCTGCATCAACAGGCTGTGTATAGCCCCAATGATGATTTGAGTAACTTATATAGGTAAGTCAAAAAATAAAAACTAAGAATAAAATACATAAATAAAACACACAATCATTCACGGTTAACTGTGCCAGAAAAGAACGATGAGAAGTATGTTCGTAGCAGCTGTCGAGGCATATGGAAATCGAAGATGCCCGAGACTCGATTGAACACTCGTTGCAGCCCACCTATTGCACCGTTCATGCTCATGTTCATGTTCATAGTTTGAGCGCTGAAGTGCTAATCTCAGCATAACGTTGTTACGTAGCGCACGGGGTTGGACGTTAATGTTGACTTGCCCCAAGATTGCACTGCAATTAATTCTACCTTGTAAAGTGTCCGCAATGAACAGGGCCCTAGAGGTGTCTCTTCTAGTTCGGAGAGGCTCCAGATCAATCAGCTGGCAACGAATTTCATAGCTGGGCAGATGAAATGGGTCTCTCCAAGGCAGCTTCCGCAGAGCGAATCGAAGAAAACGGCGTTGAACGGACTCAACTCTCTCAGCACCATTGTTGTAGTTTAGACTCCAGACCACAGAACAATATTCCAGAATGGATTGCACCAAGGAACAGTACAGTGACTTTAAACAATAGATATCGGAGAAATTCTTTGCTATCCTGAAGATAAATCCCAATGTCCTAGACGCCTTGTCGACAACGTACGAGATGTGCTGCTTGTACGTAAGTTGAGAATCCAGAATAACACCCAGATCTTTCACATGGTTCACACGGTCGATTACAGTGCCGATAAGTTTGTATTCAAATGTGATTGGTTTTTTCTTCCGAGTAAAAGTGATCACTGAACACTTAGTGGGGTTAACCACCATTCGGTTCAAATTACACCAGCTGGCAAAGACTTCAAACTGACGTTGAAGGAAGTGACAGTCATCAATCGAGCGGATTCGTAGGTAGATTTTAAGATCGTCTGCATACGATAGTCGTGGGCCTTCGATGACCAAGTTCACGTCATTGAGGTAGAGTAAGAAAATCAAAGGTCCCAGGTGACTTCCTTGAGGTATTCCTGACGTAGCTAGATAGATATTGGACCGGTTGTCACCAATGGCAACCATCAGTTGCCGATCAGTGAGATATGAACGAAACCATCGCAAGAGGTTGCCGCTGACCCCAAGTCTATGCAACTTGGCAATCGCGATGGCATGGTTTAGCTTATCGAACGTAGCTGACAAGTCGGTGTATATGACGTCTGTTTGAGTCCCCTCTGCCATGCTTTCCGTAAGATACGATGTCAAACACAGCAGATTTGTGGAAGTAGAACGACCGGAAGTGAAGCCGTGTTGATCACCACTTAGATACTGCTTACAATGAGAGAGTAGAGGCTCCATGATAACTAACTCGAATAACTTCGAAACTGCACTCAACGACGTAATTCCACGATAATTGTCCACATCCCGTTTGCTGCCCTTTTTGTGGATAGGAAACATATGTGCGAATTTCCAACAAGATGGAAATGTACCACTCGAGATGGACAATCGAAATAGGTGAAGCATGGGCATCAGCAAGCTGGCGATATGCTTTTTCAGGAATACGGATGGAACGCCATCGGGTCCTGGTTTGAAGGACGACTTGAGTTGTGATGCGGCAGTGGAAATCATCTCAACGTTGACATCCATCGCACCCAGTGTTTGACCGTACAGTGGAACATTACTAGCTGCTAGGGTAACGTGTTCGTCAGTTAATCTCTCATTCGTGAAAACACTGGCGAACTTCTCAGAAAAAAAGCGACAGATCTGCTGAGGAGTGGAAGCAACTGCTCCATTCAACACCATTGAAGAAGGTAGGCCGGATTCCTTGCGCTGCTCATTTACGTAATTCCAGAATGACTTCGGGTGCGACTTGAGTTTCCTCTGAATCCCTCGTTGATATCGCGAATAGCATCGAAGGCTAACTCGCTTGAACTCATAATTGAGCCTAACGTAGTGACGTTTCAGCGAAAGCGTACGATACTTAGTACTTGGTCGACTTCAACCTATGCAGTTCACTCGTCTGCCAAGGAGGATGAGAAATTTTACGGTGAACTCTTTTCGGAACGTGCCTGTCAATGACATAAGCCAAGACATGTGAAAATGTTTGCGCAGCGGTTTCAACATTATCAGGATCGAGGATGCTCTCCCAATCTATACTAGATAGCACGTTGACGATACTACGGTGATCGGCTTTCCGGAAATCGTATGACACGGTCGTGGTAATGTCGTCAAAGACCCGATCGCGAGTGTCAGCAACAGTGACAACCAAGGGAGAGTGATGATGTACTTGCTTTACTAGTGGAGAAGGTGCCGTGGAGATGAAAAGAGCGGTGTCCTGAACGCTAACGAAGCAGAGGTCCAGGCTACGGTTGTTTTCGTTGACTACGTGGTTTATTTGAGATAGTG